TATATATATATATATATATATATATATATATATATATATATATATATGTATATATATGTGTGTGTGTGTGTGTGTGTGTGTGCGCGCGCGCGCGCGCGCGCGCGCGCACGCTTCACTTAAATTTTTGTCTAACTCAATGGTGATTCCTAGAATTATGGGTACACACTTAGTACTGTCGTTTGCTGTGATTAATTATGCTCTTTCCTTCCTTTTTCCTCTAGCATGTTAAAAGACGACTTAAAGCTAAGCAGCAGTGAAGACAGTGACGGGGAGCAGGTGTGTGCTCTTTACGGTCTGTCAGCCCTCCTCACCGCTGTTTCATTATGTCTTGACTTAAGAGCCAGTAACTTTTTATAAGCTTTCTGACACTGGATGCTTGCAGCCTTCTGCAATGTCGTCAAGCTTCTTTTTTCATTTTTTTAAAAAATATTTATTGTGGGTCAGAGAATACTTTTGAAGCAGGAGAGTACTTACAAGAAATATTTACAAAGTTTTTAACAACATTTATTCTTTTATATGTATGAGTTCCCTGGAACTAGAGCTACAGGTGGTTCTGAGCACCATGTGAGTTCTGGGAATTGAACTTGGATCCTCTCTGTAAGAGCATCGAGTGCTCTTAACTGATGAACCGTCTCTCCAACCTCCAAAAATTTTAAGTCTTATCTTAGAGACACTTTTTTTCTCTTACCTCTTTTATTTGGTAATAGTGCTACTAAGGACTAGTTAGGCAAATCCTAACTTAAGCAAAAACAGGGTCCTGGCTGGTTATTGTCTGAGGGGTTTTGGTTATTGTTTTTGGTTTGAGGCATTTTCAACAAGTGTCCCAGGCTAGCCTCAGATTCATGATCCTGCTGCCTCCACTTACTGAGTGCTGTGGTATACTGTACTGTTTTTGTTTTAATCACTGTTTTAAGTATATCTTGTTTCATATGGTAGAGAAGCCAGCTTTTGTTTTGTTGTTTTTTTTTTAGTTCAGACATTTATATTATTGAATAGAGTATTATTCATTCACAGATTTCTTATGCTTCACTTTTAGGATTGTGATAAGACTATGCCAAGGAGTACACCCGGAAGGTAGGGATCCTTTTATTTTGTGGTTTTGTTGTAATTGTTTTGAGGGCTGAGATTAGTCTGATTTAACATTGTGGTGGTACCATAAGCGGCTTTATATATAATGTCAGTTGTGATGATGGTTGTATAATTCTGGAAATTAAATTCATTAAATTTTGTACTCAAACTGGGTAAGATTTAAAATATGTTAGAAGTGAGTATTATTAACTGAATGATACATGGGGGATGTCTATTTCATTTGCAACCAAGTTTTAGGTTTCTTATGCACACATCGTTAATAAGGTTGGATATCAGATTTGGGTGGGGTTTTTCCATCATAAAGGAAACTTGTCATTTCTGTTTTATCTCTTTCAGTAACTCCGAACCTTCACATCATAATAGTGAGGGAGCAGATAACTCTAGGGATGACTCCAGCAGCCACAGCGGATCTGAGAGCAGCTCTGGATCTGACTCGGAGAGTGAAAGTAGCTCCAGTGACAGTGAGGCAAATGAGCCATCCCAGAGTGCATCTCCTGAGGTGAGGCAGAGGTGCTTCTGCAGCTCCCAAGCCTCATGATGTCACTGAACCCATTACTGCATATACTGATCAAAGGCAGTTGAACTATGCATCTTATAAAAAACCTGAACTATTTTGGTTTTCTTATTATTTGAAGAACTTTTTTAAAACTTAGAATTTAATCCTTAATTTTGCCTCTTAAGGAATTTCTGTTATGTAGTTACTGTGACTAACATGCTCTTCCGTTGTGTAATCGTACTGGAGAGTGATAAAGTGCAGTTGAAAGTCTCTCCTGATACCTACATCATGTTTACTTTCTAGAATTAAATCCTTTGCAATACACCTTTCAAGTTAAACTCCTAACTGGAATACGATTATTTAAAGGCCATTTGTAATAAGCTGCTCATGGTGGCTCTGCCTGACTCTAGCACTCAGGAGGCCAAGTGATTAGTGTTAAACCTGTGCTTTCATCCTGGAAGAAACTTGCCAGACAGTGCTTATCACCTTAAGCACTATTCTTTTTCCTCTTACTTGACTTTGTAAAGAGAGGGAAAGCTTCAGTATTGGGGGAAAACCCTACATCTCTATATTTCTCTGTTTTGTTTTTTTTGCAGCCTGAACCACCACCAACAAACAAGTGGCAACTTGATAATTGGTTGAACAAAGTGAACCCACATAAAGTGTCTCCAGCTTCTTCTGTAGACAGTAACATCCCATCCTCTCAAGCCTACAAAAAGGAAGGCCGAGAACAGGGTGCTGTAAATAACTACACTGATCCTGGCGGGCCGAAAGAAACAAGTTCGGCTACTCCTGGACGAGACTCTAAAACCATCCAAAAGGGGTCAGAGAGTGGTCGTGGGAGGCAGAAGTCTCCTGCACAAAGTGACAACACCACACAGAGGAGAACTGTGGGCAAAAAACAACCCAAAAAAACTGAGAAGTCAGCTGCTGAAGAGCCCCGGGGAGGCCTGAAGATAGAAAGTGAGACCCCTGTAGACATGGCTACCAGCATGCCCTCCAGCAGGCACAAAGCAGCCACCAAGGGCTCAAGGAAACCCAACATCAAAAAGGAGTCGAAATCTTCCCCTCGACCTATAGCAGAGAAAAAGAAATACAAGTCAGCAAGTAAATCCTCCCAGAAATCTCGGGAAATCATAGAAACAGATACCTCGTCCTCAGATTCAGATGAAAGTGAGAGTCTCCCTCCCTCCTCACAGACTCCTAAGTACCCTGAAAGCAATAGGACTCCTGTTAAACCCTCCTCAGTGGAGGAAGAAGATAGCTTTTTTCGGCAACGAATGTTCTCTCCTATGGAAGAGAAGGAGCTCCTTTCCCCACTCAGTGAGCCTGATGACAGGTATCCACTTATTGTGAAGATTGACCTGAATCTGTTGGCTAGAATACCTGGGAAGCCTTACAAAGAAACAGAACCACCCAAGGGGGAAAAGAAAAATGTGCCAGAAAAACATGTGAGAGAGGTGCAGAAGCAAGCCTCAGAAAAGGCTTCCAACAAAGGCAAGAGGAAACACAAGGTCTGTAAAGAGGTGGTGGTTCTTTTTCTCTTTTAGAAATATTTTTGTTCCCATTTCCATATCCTTAAATATCTTGATATTAAAATACTAGCTATTTTTAAACATAATTTTATTTATGTGTTTCTATGAGTATATGCTGTTTGTGTATCTGTGTGCGTCTGAATCTGTGTGTGCACTGATGCTATTGTATGCTCCTGTAGAGGCCAGTAGAGAGTTAAATTTCCTGGAGCCAGTTACAGCCAATTGTGAGCTTCCTGACATGGTTATCGGGATCCAAACTTTGGTCCTGCTGGAAAAGTAGCAGGTGCCCATCTCTCTAACCCCAAGTTCTTGCTACCTTGACTTTATATTACATAGTCACTGTTGCTTTTAAATTATATTATTTTATTTATGTATGTGTGCACACACCTACACTACACTACAGAGGTCAGAGAACAACTTGTGGAGCTGATTCTTTCCTTCTGTCGCGTGGATCGCAGGCACTGAGCTCAGGTTGTCAGGATTTTGCCCACTGAAGTATCTTGCCAGCCTCTATTGGTCATTCTTAGATACCAGCATCTGCAGTGCTATGGATATATAGTTTGTGGATCATGAGCTGTAAGGGAAAATAGTGATTGAGCACAAGGCCCCGTTGAGACTCTGTATGTACAGAACAGTGTCTCTGTGCTCTGTCTCCTTAAATAAAGCAGGATGAATTTTTTTTTTTTTTTTTTTTTTTTTTTTTTTTTTTTAAATAGGATCTCTGGGGAGATTTTGTGGTGGCCAGAATAAAAGTGAGGCTAGAACAAACATTGAATGCTGGAGTCTGAGTATAATCCACACATCATTTTCTGTCTTACGCTCAGGTCAAGTCATACTTTTTTGTTACTGGCCTGATGCAAGAAAAGCTGACTGACTAATTTTGTGACAGATAAAGTCATGAGACTATCACCCATTCACTATTTAGCTTCGTGCTTAGCCTTTTCCATTAACACAGGTCAAAACCGAGAACATCCCCTGGGGCTTAGTGTTGTAGCTCAGTGGTAAAGATCTTGCTGAGCATTTGTGAAGCCCTTGATCCAGTTCCAACATGGAGGGAAAGTCTGTTGGCACATAGCCCACTCTCATCCCTGAATACTTCCAATATAATATAAAGACAAAGCCTGGTATATGAGATCAGCTTTATGCAGAGCCAGCATGTACACCATATTTTTCCTAGTACCCAAGGAGATCAGAAGAGGGTGCTAGATGCCCTGGAACTTGTGTTACACGTGATGTGAGCCACCATGTGGATGCTTAAAACTCAGAGAGCCTCTACAGGAGCAGCCAGTGGCTCTTAACTACTAAGACATCTTTCCAGCTCTTCCCCAGAATTATGATTTTGGTAAAGTATCAGAGGCAATTCCTAGAGTTTATACTGATAATACTGGGAGGAGACCCAGTCCCTGCTAGCAGTCTGTAGATTACTTTTTCTCATGTCTTCATCTATCAGAATTTAACCATTTGATGGTAAGCAGACTCTTCTGTTACAGTAGAGGTGGAATACTTGTTTGCATTCTTGTTGCTTACTATTTGAAGCAGTAGGAGAACTTGGGTTCACCTATGGAAGTAGCATCAACAGTAGATAGGCTTAACACTTAGGATTTGGCCAAGAAGTTTTTCAGAGGCGGAGGTTAGTTGTTAGTAAGTAGCTGTGCATTCAAGTACCAGTGAAACTGTAGAACTGGAACTTCATGCAGTGCTAGTAGAATGGTGAGATGTGGTTGCATTGGAGCACAGTTTGGCAGTTTCTTTAAAAATCTGAATGTACAGTTACCTTATGATCCACCAGTTATAGTCCCAGGTCCACATCCAAGAGAAATGGAAATATATGTCTACACAAAACTATTATAGTGCTCATAGCCACATCATTTCATGTTAGTCAAAAATTGCTCATTAACTGATGAATAAATAAAATATACTATAGCTGTATGGTACAGTACTACCCAGCCATAAATGATATGAATATTAAAAGATTAGACGAAAAAGAAGATTACGTTGTATGATTTTACTTAGATGTGATGTCTAAAAAGACTAAATGGGCAGATTAAAGATTATCAGGGCCTTGGAGAAGAAGAAACTGCTGACATGGATGTCTTTGTTGATTAAAAAAAAAATGTTCTAAAATTGATTATAATGATGGCTGTATAATTCTGAGTATCTAAATGCTATAGAGTTAGTTGTATAGTTTTAAAGGATGTATTTTATGGTTTGTGAGTTACATCTTAATTCTACAAATCTGTCTAACCCTAAAATTATTACATAAAAGAGATATCATCTAAGACTTTAGGGAAATCTGTTACCGTGTTTATGCTCTGGATCTAACATAGGACACCCTTGTCATGCTTAAGACCTACTGTTTCTGTTTTTGTCTAGAATGATGATGATAACCGAGCCAGTGAGAGCAAAAAACCCAAAACAGAGGACAAGAACTCATCGGGCCACAAGCCATCCAGCAACAGAGAGTATGTCCCCAAATCATGTTGCATGCCAGTATTGGCTATATATATCATTTGTTGTTTAGTACTTTTTGACATACTTCAGAGTATTGTTTTTAGTTGACTGAATGTCATATACATGTATGCACATTTGGATAGTTGTAAGAGTTTTGCATTTAGCTAATAGAGATGGGAAACATTTACTCTCTCTCTTTCTCTCTTTTTTAGTAAGATAAGAATATGTCCCAGTTAGGGTTACTATTGCTGTTATTGCTGTGATAACCATGAGCAACTTGGGGAGGAAAGGATTTATTTGGCTTAGACCTCCATAACAACTGCTCATCATTGAAGGAAGTTAGGACAGGCATTCAAAACGGCAGGAATCTGGAGGCAGAAGCTGATGCAGAGGCCACAGAGGAGTAATGCTTACTGGCTTGTTCCTCATGGCTTGATCAGCCTGATTTCTTATAGAACCTAGGGCCACCAGCCCAGTGATGGAACCACCCACAATGGGCTGGGCCCTTGCTCATGTCAACCACTAATTAAGAAAAAGCTCCACAGACTTGACTGAATAAACCCAATCTTATGGAAGCATTTTCTCAACTAAGGTCTCCATCTCTCAAATAAAATCTAGCCTGTGTCAAGTTGTCATAAAACCAGGCAGCTCAGAGTACGAGATAAGAGTAATGCTTCACTATTTTCTGGGTAGTTAACAAACTTACCTCAACTTGAAAGAGACTAGTAACTTGTAAGAATTAATCTTTTTACAATTTTTCTATTTGCTTATTGATTCAGCCAATATTTTATTAAGCATTTATTGTGTGACAGATTGTTTTAGGCACTGGACATGATTGTGCAAGAGAAAACACAGGGGAGGCAGAACAGACAGGTGACTACCTGATGGAATTTACCTTCTTTCTGTTTTGTAATCATCGTATAGAGAATGTCTTTGCAAATTTGTCTTACAATCGGGTGAAAGAGGTGGAAAAGTCCTTCACTCCTGTATCACGCCTCAGAAATAAGAGCATTTGTTTTGTTTGGCAGGTCATCTAAGCAGAGTAGCGCAAAAGAAAAGGACTTGCTGCCCTCACCTGCTGGGCCCGTTCCTTCAAAAGATTCAAAATCAGAGCATGGCTCTCGGAAGAGGACTGTCAGTCAGTCGTCTTCCTTAAAGTCCAGCAGTACCAGCAACAAGGAGAATAGTGGCAGCAGCAAGAACAGTTCCTCCACATCAAAGCAGAAGAAGACCGAAGGGAAGGTTTCCAGCAGCTCCAAAGAGGCCAAGGTAAGGTTTGGGGGCTTGAGCCTTTGAGAATCACCCTGCTGTGTCTTCTTGAGGTGACATTGCTGTTTGTAAAGATCTCATTGAGATTGTAGGCATGTGCAGGTTTTAAATGAATGAATGATTGTGTGTGTCTCAGAGGACAACTTTGAGGGGTCAGTTCTCACCTTTCATCTTGCTGAGGTGGGATCTCCTTACTGCTGCCCTGTGGTGCATCCCAGGTTAGCCTGGTGATTTTCCTCTGAAGGAGTGATGGGGTTGAGATTGTACCACCACGTCTGGGGTTTTTTGTTTTTTTGTTTTGTTTTGTGTTTGGGGTAGGATCTCACTGTTGACTGACCTGAACTTACAGAGGTCTGCATGCCTCTGCCTCTTGAGTGCTGGTACTAAAAGTGTGTGCTACCACACCTGGCTTCAAAAGGTCATCCTTCACAAAGTAATGATACAGTTGAATAGTCTTGGTAATTATAGACTGAGATTTGGGTCCAAGAAGGTTTTTCAGGACTGTGCTTTAGTAGACCCTCAATCTGTTTGATATTTTCTTTATCTCAAACCCCCGTGCCCCCTCCTCCCTGGCTCGTTTTTCTTTTTTTGAGACAGTTTATGTAGCCTTGGCTGTCCTGGAACCCACTCTGTAGTCTGGCCTTGAACTCACAGAGGTCCATCTGTCTCTACCTCCCAATTGTCTCTCCCTCTGGCAATTGTTTTTTTAAGACAGGGTCTCACTATGTAGCCTAACTTGGACATGTTAAAAAAAAAAAAAAAAAAAAAAAAAAACAAAAAAAAAAACCAGAACTGATCACCTGTCACAGCCTCCCAAATGAGTAGGTTGTTCATATGCTTTTAAGCTGGTCTGATCTGGTCCAAGTCCATGATATTACAGCATTTAAGTGAAAATTAAGATATTTAAGTTTTTAAGAATATAGTCCAGGGTAATAGTGGTATACATCTTTAATCCCAGCACTTGGGAGGCAGAGACAGAGGCAGGGGGATGTCTGAGTTTAAGGCCAGCTTGGTCTACAGAGTGAGTTCCAGAACAGCCAGGGCTACACAGAGAAATGCTGCCTTAACAATAACAATTGTTAATTGAGTATGCAAAAGTTTGGAAATTGGATATTCTATACTGCTACAGGCCTATTAAATGTAGTAATTAAAGATTTTAAGTCTAAGTAAGTCAAATTATGAGCTTTTTAGGGTGAGTTGTACAGATGGATTTCTCTCTAAGCAAGCACCCTATTTTTCTGTAGGAACTTGAGGATCTCACCCAGCACCCCAAGGACACTGACTGTTGGCTTTTCTTAACTGTTTCTGTTTTTACCAGCTTACCGGCCCTTTCTCCATTTCCCATCCTTTTCCATACAGAGTTTGAGGCTTCCATGCTAATTCCTTAAACTCTAGTACCTTTTAAAAAGTGCATTCATTAAGTGAGCTCATGTGCTCTTCAGGCTTCTTGTGTCTACAGGTAGATGCCATTGTGTTTCTTCTTTGTAAAGGAGGCTTCTTCCTTCAATAACTGTGTTTTTGAAAGCAGGAATTTGTATATGTCTTAATGTTTTCTCTAGTGTTTTAACTTACTAAGAAATTAGGAAATGTTGTTGGATCATATTTGGGATCATACTTGGTATTTGGTGGGTTTTGTTTTCTTTTGTTTTATATATAAGATCAGAGCCTCACTATGGAGCCCAGGCTAGCTTCTTGGGAGTTGAGATCTTTGTGCCTCAGCCTCCTGAATGCTGGAATTACAGGCATGTTTTTTGTTTGGTTGGTTGGTTTTGTTTGTTTGTTTGTTTGTTTGTTTGTTTGTTTTTCTCATTTGGCCTTTTACTTTACTCTTTTTTCCTATAGGAAATCTTAGAATTGCTGTCCCTGTTAGAGTCACTGACTTTTTCCAGAGGAAGTGGAGTTTAAAGAAAGCCTAGAGTCAGGAGTAGAATTTAAGCAGCTGACTTACTTGGCCCTCTGCTTACTTCCCAGCCCATTTGCATGATGCTTTCTTTACACAGTAACCTATATGTACTTAGTATAGACTGGCTTAGCTGATGCTATCAGTAAGCCTTTACGGCTATATAAATGCATACAAGTAGCACTTTGATATTGGTTAAGAAGAAACAGACAACCACTGGTTTAGAAAGAATAAAGCTTCAGAACTTTGCCAGTCATGGAAAGATCACCTCAGCTATCTAGTGCACTTAGGATTGTGTTAGTTTAGTCAAGGTTGCTGTGGTACCACCACAGGCTGGAAAGTTCAAACAACAGAAACTGACTAGTTCTGGAGGCTAGAAACCCAGTACAATGTTTTGAGCATTATCTTCTCAGAATGAGGAAGAAGCTGAAAACCAGTTGCCCCCACTGGAATGATACAGCTTGTGACCTCTCTTGATACTCCAGGGTGTAGTATTGCCTTTGTATTCCAAGGAGCAGTCCCTGTCCCTATGCTCAGACGGTTTGGATTTTTGTTTTTTAAGATTTTTTTTTTCAGTTTAAATTATGTGTATCTGTGTGTTTTATGTAGACAAGAGTGCAGTGCCCTTGGATGCCATAGGTATCAGATACCCCTGGAACTGCAGTCACAGGCAAGTTGTGAGCTGCTGGGAATAAAACTCAAATCCTCTGGAAGAACAAGAAGCACTTTTATTCACTGAACCATCTTTCCAGTCCCTTAGACTACCTTAAAACACAACAAAGCCTGTCTAATACTAACACTTATTTCATAGGGTAGTTGAAGAATTAAAAACCATACTAAGGCTGGGTGTGGTGGCACATGCCTGTAATCCCAGCCCTCAGGGAGGCAGAGTCAGGTGGATCTCTGTGAGTTCAGCCTGGTCTACAGAGTGAGTTCCAGGGCAGCCAAAGCTACACAGAGAAATTATGTCTTGGTAACACAAAAACAAAAAAACTAAGTACTTACCTTAGTAATGAACCTATGAACCTCTTTTTGTTTGGTTTGCTTTTTGAGACAGGATCTCACTGGGTAGCCCTGAATGACCCAAGCTTGCTGTGTAGACCAGGCTGTTCTTAAACTTACAGAAATCATCCTGTTGGAATTAAAGGCATATGCCGCCACACCCAGCATTATATTCTCCTGACTTGTACTGCCCCTTAGTTGTGTGTGCGTGCGTGCGCTCATGTGCAGGTCTGTGTCCATGCATGTGTGTAGAAGCCAGGGGAGGGCCTCTGCTGTCTTCTCTGTTGATCTCTCTTTCTCTCTCTTAATTTTTAAGTTTGTTTGTTTTTGTGTTATGTGTATGAGTGTCTTACATGCACCACCTATGGCCTGGTGCCCAGAGGTCAGAAGAGGGCAATCGATTCCTTGAACCAGAGTGACATATGGTTGTGAGTCACCATGTGGTGCTTGGTACCAAACCCAGGTATTCTGTAACCAGTGCAGCTGACTGCTGAGAAATCTGTCCAGCCCTTAATCTGATTTCTTTGAGACAGAACTTCTTCTCTTTGAACCTGAAGCTCACCATTTCAGCTGTGTTTATCCCTGGATCTGCCTGTTTCTGCCCCCAACTCTAGTGTCTCAGGAACATGCAGCCTAGCTTGGCGATTTGAACTCAGGTTCTCTTGCTTTACAGCACATGGGCTTACCGACAGAGCCGTTCCTCAACCCAGGACTGCCATTTTGATACGCAGTTTGTGTCTGCTTTAGGTTTTAACAAGTACCTAGCCTAAGTGCCTTGCATACAGTAGACTTTTTTCAGATATATTTTATTTTATTTTTATTAATTACAGTTTATTCACTTTGTGTCCCACCTTTAGCCCCCTCCCGTGTCCCCTCCCAATCCCACCCTCTCTCCCTGTTCTCTACCCATGCCCCTCTCCCAGTCCACTGATAGGAGAGGTCCTCCTCCCCCTCCCTTTGACCCTAGCCTATAAGGTCTCACCAGGACTGGCTGCATTGTCTTCCTCTGTGGCCTGGTAAGGCTTCTTCTCCCCCTTGGGGCAGTAATCGAAGAGCCAGCCACTGAGTTCACAATGTCAGAGACAGTCCCTGTTCCCCTTACTAGGGAACCCACTTGGACACTGAGCTGCAATGGACTCTTGATAAATATAAGAATAAATATTTTGGTTCTGTAAAATGAACCTAATCTGTGGGTTTTGGTGGTAGTGTGGTAGTGGTGGGGAATTCATTCTTTGCTTGCTTGCTTTCTCTTTCTTTCTTTCTTTCTTTCTTTCTTTCTTTCTTTCTTTCTTTCTTTCTTTCTCTCTTTCTTTCTTTCTTTCTTTCCACTATAGAATTTAGTAACAAAGAAATTTGAAGACTGTGGAATTTTGTTTCTGTTTTAGCAGTGGCTGAAGAAGTGAGATTAGTTTCATTTTTTTAATTCTTGGCAGTTTTCAACTTGCTTGTATATTTTCTTTTGGTCAGGAAAAGGCTCCAAATAGCTCCTCTAACTGTCCTCCGTCTACACTAACTCCTGATTCTTCAAAGCCTCGGAGAACAAAGCTTGCCTTTGATGACAGGTGAGATAAAGTTTGTGGGGGTTTTTTGTGTTTGCTGGGGGGGGGGCGGTGTTTGTTTGTTTTTGAGATAGAATCTCACTTGTGCAGCCCTGGTTGTCCTAGAGCTTGCTATGTAGACCGGGCTGACCTCAAACTCTTAGAGATTAGCCTGCCCCAGCCTCTTGAGTGCTTGGATTAAAGGTATGTGCCACCATGCCAGCTGTAAAGAGATAAATACACTTTCAAGTATGTATTTAAGAAATACCAGTCACCATGTAAGAAACTCATTTAAACATATCAGGTTTTAAAAACATTAGTATTTGTGTCTGACCCACAGAACATTCAGGTTTTAATTTGAAAGGCATCTTTAGTCCAACTACTCCTTTAGTAACCAGTGGCTGTCCTGAGTGACAGGAAGGATGTGCTTCCTGGAGCTGTTCTTGCTGTCAGTACCACTGTTGATAGCGGGGTCTTCTCAGATAAGCAGTGTGGCTTTCTCATGCCTTTTGTCAGAAGGTGGTACTTCTACCTGCATCCTATTTACTCTTGATTTAAAAAAAAAAACAAAACAAAAACTTGAATAAGCTAATGTTAAATGTTATGGAGCTTGATCTCTGTGTGTTTGAGTAGAAGATTTGCCACAGTAGCTCATAATTTATGTTCTTAATTTACATACATTTGTCAGAAAATTGAATTGTTTGATAATAGTTTATTATTATTATGAAATATTTAGTGATCACTCCTCAAGACTGTGAAAGCTGCAAGATACTGGAGACTAAAAGAACTTAGTAATTATCTTAGAAAATGTTGACCTTTTTATTTTGCAGAAATTATTCAGCAGACCATTATTTACAAGAAGCAAAAAAACTCAAACACAATGCGGATGCTTTGGTATGTAAATACCCCTCAGGATGCACTCTATAAAGCTACCATGTCCCTTGTGTTGTCTGTGCTTGCAGTGCGCCATTGCTCAGCGCGTTCTCCTTTAGTCTGACAGGTTTGAGAAGGCGGTGTACTACCTTGATGCTGTGGTGTCTTTCATTGAGTGTGGGAACGCTCTAGAGAAGAGCGCGCAGGAATCCAAGTCCCCGTTCCCTATGTACTCAGACACGGTGGAACTCATCAAGTGAGTGGGGATCGTGACGTTTCACTGGAATAACTGTCATTTATTATTGTTATTTCTTTGGTTAACTGAATGTGGTGAACTAGAAAGATGCTTAATGTTCCATTTTCTTTAGGGAAAAATTTTAGTGGGTGTTTTATTTAGGCTTAATTCTGATATTTTGAGAACATTGGAAGTTGTAAGATCAAGGTGAAATACTCTGTTACTTGGTTTGGTTTTTGTCTCAACTCATAGATACACTATGAAACTAAAGAATTACTTGGCACCAGACGCTACAGCTGCAGACAAGAGACTCACAGTACTTTGGTAAGTGTTGTGTGTTCTAGCCTTTGCTGGGTAACAGGCAGTTCCTTGATGGATTGTGCTGTGTGTGCTTTATCCTTGAATTCTTCCACAAGCCCTTCACAAGCCTTAACAGTCAAACAGAAAATAGTTCAAAATCCCCACTGAAAGATTTTAGCTCCTGTCAGTCTCTAATCGACTGCCCTCCTGATGAAAGTGCCAGATTAGGACTAGTACTAGAACCCTCCATTGAATTAAGTGACCACTTTTTTTTAAGTTCCTTTCTATGCATGCTCCTAAACAACACTGTGTCCCAGAAAGACATCATCTGTTGACTTGTTCAGGGTGCATACTTGACCAGGCACTGTGCTTACACTAGAAGTGCAGCTGTGAGCTGTCTGACGCCATCCTGCTCAGGATGTAATCTACAGACAGAAACTAATTAACCGTGTGACTATGTGAACAAGTTTCTCTAAAAGAAAAGAATACTCAGGTCAGGTGTGGTGGCACACACTTAATCCCAACACAGAGGCAAGTGGATCTCTGTAAGTTTGAGGCCAGCCTGGTCCACATACAGAGAGTTTCAGGACATCTAGGAAGATGGAACAGAGAGAACTTGTCTCAAAAAAAAATTATAAAATAAATCTCTTAGAGAAATCGGGAGATTCGCTCTGGAGGTTACAACATAGGCAGGGGCCGGATGGTGGGAAGGAATGGGAAACTTGTAAGGACTGAAAGACCAGTGAATGAGAGAGTGGCCTTTCCTGGGCACATAGGCAGGAACAATAATTATGTGGGCTGAACTGTATGAGCTGGGTAAAGGTCGGTATATTCCATAATACTTGTAATATTTCAGTTTTCTACTTTTGGTTTTTAACTTTCTGAAAGTACATTCTATGTTGTAGTTTTAATTTTGAATGTCAGAGTACCATCTAATGGGATATTAGTCCTAAGTTTCTTAGCTAGTTTTCTTATGATGCGTTCCATATTAAGCTGACCTTTTGGTTTTGTCTGAGAAGTAATGTTAACCCTGAGCTATGGTTGCTCACGTGAAGCCAGCCCTATATTCCTACACAGTGGATAGACTGCTTGTAGATAAAGCCATGTCTAAATACACTGCCCTTGCCTGTTGCTTAGCCTGAGATGCCAGTCACTGTTGTACCTGAGACTGTTCAAACTGAAGAAGGAGAATGCTCTGAAGTACTCTAAGACACTGACTGAGCACCTGAAGGTAAGTATATATAACAGAGTCCATCGCCTAGGAGTCCATCCTTGTCCCAGAGATACCCTCATATTTAGGCAAAACATAACAAATTGACTACTGCTTGAACATTCTCAGATGTTTGTGCCTTCTTGGGAAAGCTTTCAAATGTATATATTGGACACAGAATTTTCATAGCTGTATGCACCAGCCATGTCTATGCTTGAAAATGTTCTTTGTATGTTTGCTACACGTGTCTTTAAACTGTTACCTTGTTTTGTTCCTTACACTACTAGGAACCGACAAACTCATGGCTTGTACATGCTAAGCAAGTGCCCAACCACTGAACCACATATCCAGCCCAGACAAAGTTATTGTAGTATCTTAAAATGTCTTCCTTTTTAAAAAAAAATTTCAAGCCGGTACCATATAAATTCTTCCAAAATCCTGCTGTAGTTTGGATTTTAGAACCCTCCATAACTCACTATTGCCTACAGGCTCAAGGTCTGGCCTTACAAGTTCCTCAAGCATCTCCTATTTCTTGTCTAAACTCCTTCTTACATAACCTAGATGAGTCATTTGTGTTCTCTTTTCTGCTTAGTTTTGTATTGGAGCCAATATTATAATTATAATAGTGATTCCTTTCTCTGTGTCTTTTTTTTTTTTTTTTCAAGACAGGGTTTCTCTGTATGTAAACTTGGCTGTCCTGGACTCGCCTTGTAGACCAGGCTGGCCTTGAACTCACAGAGATCTGCCTGCCTCTGCCTCCCAAGTGCTAGGATCAAAGGTGTGTGCCACCACTGCTCAGCTCATGGTTGTGGGTTTTTTGGTTTTTTGTTTTATGTTTTGAGGCAGAGTTTCTCTCTGTAGCCTTGGCTATCCTGGACTCACCTGTAGGCCAGGCTGGCCTCGAACTCACAAGGATCTGCCTGCCTCTGCCTCCGAGTGCTGGGATTATAGGTGTGTGCCACCTTGCCCATCATTTCCTGTTCTTTTCCACTTCCTTTCATGTATTTCTGTTACTCAATGTTTCTCTGCATTGTCTATGGAGTCTTCTAGAACAGCCTAGCTTTCATTTAATACATTCTTTCTGTTACTCATTGTTTCTCTGCGTTATCTATGGAGTCTTCTAGAACAGCCTAGCTTTCATTTTATATCTTCTTTCTGTTGTGCCTCTGCATACTCTTTGTTGATGTTTTTAAAGATTCAATGCACACTGGCTGCTCTTTGAAAAGAACCAGTTTCAGTTCCCAGCATCCTTATAGTTACAAGAGCCGCTTAAAACTGTCTGTGTTCTACAGGATCTGATAGCTTCTTCTGGCCTCTGAGGACACCTAGAATATGTGTGACATACAGATACACATGTAGGCAAAAATCTATACACAAAAAAATATTGAAACATTTATAGATTTATCTGTGTGTGTCTGTATATTTCAGGGGCCAGAGGAAGACCAAGATCTGTTGTAGGTAGAGTCAGCTACCCAACTTGGGTGCTGAGATCCAAACTTGGGTCCTCTAGAAGAGCAACAATTGCTCTGAACCACTGAGCCATCTGTCTAGCATCATGTTTCTGTTTTCTGAGATAGAGTCTCATAAGTCTAAGCTGACCTCAAACTGGCTGTGGAGCCAATGATTATTAAGTTCTTAAGATTCGCCCTAGCCCAATACTTTTGAAGACAGTAGTGGTGAATACCTTAAAGGTTATATATTGCTGTTAAATGAATTTATTTTTCCCTGCAGAATTCTTACAGTAATTCTCAAGCACCTTCACCTGGCTTGGGGAGGTAAGTACAGTTTTGTTCTCTGCAATATTTTTGATAAATTTATTTGTATATCAGAGTAGAAATGGACATCAAAATGATTGCTACTTTAAAAATATTAAAATCTCTAGTTAGGTATTTTAAAAAATTTGTTTTTATATTTAGAATTGAACCCAGGTCTTTTTGCATGTGCTCCCACTGAGTTATGTCTCTGGAAAAGTATTTCTTAAGCTATTACTTTCAATTTAATAATTTAAAATATAGTGAACATAATTTTAGAAAGGTTGGAAATGAGACATGTTACCTACAGACATCTGAGTTAGCTTTTGGTTGGTTTTGTTACTCCCTTTCTACCATGTAGGTTCCTTGGTAGTACTCAGGCTTTTAGGCTTGGTGGCAAGCACCCTTACCCCCGAAGCATCTCACTAGCTCCCAGATAGCTGAGTTCTTAAGAGTACCTGAGTTCTTCTCAGGTTAATTTTCATTTGTTACAGTGGTTTTTAACTCCACTCAGATCTTGGCACTGCCAGAGTGCCAAGTGGCATGGTTTTCATTTATCTTCCATTCTCACATTAATCCTTCCTACCTATGCCCAAAAGGGGAACAAACACCCTGCAACCTTTTACATTTTCTTCTTAATTTTCTGGGTCTCTGTTGAGGTCTTGTGATAATGTAAGTAGAAATTCCATCTTGTTTTCCCTGTCTACCCATCTCCAGAGCTGAAGTAAAAACCCAGAGCCTTTTGCATGCTAACCAAGTGCTCTCCACTGAGCTATGTCCTCAGCCTTGTTAGTTTGTCCTTTTGAGAGAGGCTTTCACTGTGAAGCCCAGGATGGCCTCCATCCTATAGAATGTTGATGTCATAGTGCTCACCATGTGTGTGACTAAGCCTCCTGTTTCTCTTTGTGTATAGCAAAGCTGGGATGCCTTCCCCTGTTTCTCCAAAGCTGTCTCCAGGCAATTCCGGAAGTTACTCTTCTGGGGGCAGCAGTGCTTCAGCAAGTGGTTCTTCAGTGACCATTCCACAGAAGATCCACCAGATGGCAGCAAGCTACGTCCAGGTTACATCCAACTTCCTCTATGCCACCGAAATTTGGGACCAAGCTGAACAGCTCTCCAAAGAGCAAAAAGGTTTGTTGGGCTCCGGATAAACTTTGAGGGTAGAATTTTTAAAAGAAACTTTAGTAATTTAGTTATGTGGAGAACATTTACTTTATTTATTTTGTGGTTTAGAGACACTCATATAATCAGTTTGCTAATAGCCTCCTTTGCTTAGCCACATACTAAATGTGGCTAAATGTGGTTAAAAATATCCTTGCTCAGTGCATGGATCCTTGTTAGATTACTTGCCCAGCATGCAGAAGGCCCTTGTTTTGGTCCCTGGCATGAAGGATGGGGAACAGATGGACTGATATGTGGGAAGCAGCATAGACAAGGAACTTGTGTAGTACTGGTGACACAAGATAAACCAGAAGTAGTTCTTGGTGCAAGACAAATATGTCTGTTCCGGCTTGTTGAATGTAGCTCAGGAGGCAGCACCATCACCTTTCCCTATAGTCTCAAATATACCTTAAGCAGTACAGCAGTTGGGGACGGCAAGCTGGCTTAATAGGTAGAGGTTCTTGCCACCAAGCCTGAGTTCAAGCCCCAGGACCCACTTGGTGGAACAAGAGAAGAGACTCCACAGACTTTTCCACAAGGACACTGTGACACGTGCACAGACAGAAAAACAAATGTAAAAGAGAGAGAACCATTAAGAAATACAGTAGTTGGATTTGTTTTATAAAGTATTCAGTCAAGGTCTAAATGCTGCATTTTGTTAGTAAGTCTGTTAAGTACCTCTCCCCGTTATTGGGCCATGCAATTAATGTCAGGAAGAGCATGTCTTGTTCTATATTTGACCGGTTACTTCCTCATGCTGTCATTACTTTTGTTCTTCTGTCTCTCTTATTTTCTTTCTGTTTATTAGATTTAAGTTTAGTATTTAGATAAAATGTTCAAGGTGGTACATCTTATTAGGATACAACTAGACAATACCTAAGGTATTGTCTTTGTGGGGTTTCCACTGCTGTGAAGAGACAATATGACCACAGCTAGAGGAAAACATTTAATTGGGACTGGCTAACAGTTCAGAGATTATTTTCATGGTGGGAAGCATGGAGACACACAGACAAACATGGTGCTGGAGAGGTAGCTGAGTGTTCTACGTGTGGATCTGTAGGCAGTAGGTTGAGACTGTGAGTCACTAGGCCTGACTTGAGCTTCTGAGACCTCAAAGCCTGTCCGTGATGATACACTTCTTCCAACAAAGCTATACCTACTCCAGCCAGGCCACAACAACTCCCAATCATGTCACACCTTTTATTGCTATTAAGATTAATTAGACCTGAGCCAGGCAGTGGTGGCACATGCTTTTAATCCCAGCACTCAGGAGGCCAGAGGCAGGTTGGGCCTCTGAGTTCAAGGCCAGCCTGGTCTAATGGGGCTGTTACACAGAGAAACCCTATTTCAGAAAACTTGGAAGGCTGGGGCAGAAGAATTGCAAGCTAGAAGCCAGTCTAGACTATGTAGCAAGAACCTGTCTTCTTAAAAAAAAATAATTTTTAAGATCAGTAATTATTTACGTAGTGTCACTAATGAGTGATACAACATTTCCTATTAAACTTTAACTTACACTTTTGAACATCCATGATGAACATTGCCTAGGTCCATTATTAGGAAATAGAAAATTAATTATGTGCCAGGCATGGTGGTGCCTGCCTGTAATTCCAGCAGTTGGGAACAACAGAAGCTGTGAGGATCAAGAGATTGAGGTTATCATCAGCTATGTAGGGATCAGGCCAGCCTAGGCTATGTTACACCCTGCCTCGGGGAAGGGGTGAGCAAAGAAAAACCACTATCAATATTCTGTTCTGACATTCCTTTTGCATTTGTTATAATTTTTGTAGCGATGTTTCACCTCAGCTGTCTGATTCTTGACTTGTATGATTAGCCTGTAATCTTTAAGAGCCCTTTTTTGGGGCTAGAGAGATGGCTCAGAAGTCAAGAGCGCTGGCTGCTCTTCCAGAGGTCCTGAGTTCAATTCCCAGCACCCACATGGTGGCTCACAATCATCTATAATAAGATCTGATGCCTTTTTTTTTTTTTTTTTTTTAGAGAGCCTTTTTTCTCTGCATGACTAAAAGCTTTTTCCATGGGAAGTATTCCTGTCTGTTCCCTGCCAAAATTGCATTGGAGTCAAATCCTAAGATACTGTCCTCCTTCCCATTTATGCCATCCTGCTATAGAGCCTTTGTTGTTGTTGACTTAGGAAGAACCCTTTTAGTTTCATCACTGACAAAGAAGGGATTTATCAGTGCATGGCAACTGATAATGGCGGAAAGGTTGGCTGTAGATGTGTGGAGCTGCACAGGAGCTAGTATGGGAAACAAGAAATACTGTTTCCTCCTTTATACTACTTCCTTTTTTTAATGATTTTTTTTATTTTATTTTAGGTGCATTGGTGTTTTGCTTGCATGTATCTCTGAGGGTGTTGGATTCCCCTAGAACTGGAGTTACAGAAAGTTATGAGCTGATATGTGGATGCTGGGAATTGAACCGGGGTCTTGTGGAAGAGGAGCGAGCGCTCTGAACCATTTCTTCAGCCCTACTGCTTAGTTCTTGCCTATAAATAGCACATAGAGAGTGCTTTGCCTAATCCAGAGGGGCACTGCACGCATGCCACTTGTAATGTGTAGGAGCAGTGGTACTCATCTTGGAACTCATTGTTGTGCATTCTGTTTAAGCTGATGTATGACTTCAGGAGCTTGAGAGACTGTGGAGGCCTTCAGTGTGGGAGGCATGCTATTTTATAGAAAATCAGTGATTTAATAAAAGTGTGATACTTACTGAATGTTTTTAATTTTCTAGAATTCTTCTCTGAATTGGACAAAGTGATGGGCCCTCTCATCTTTAATGCAAGCATCATGACAGATCTGGCTCGTTACACCCGGCAGGGACTACATTGGCTTCGGCAGGATGCCAAGTTGATATCTTGAACTGAACATATTCTCGTTGCCTCTAATTTCTCCACAACACTGTGTCACATCACAAAGGAAAACTGCCATAACACACCACCTAGTCGACGCTAAGAATGAGAAATGGTTTTCTCCTCTTTGGTTTATGTTATTTCTAATAACCCAAAGCCATCAAATCAATTTTGACCCTTCCAATATTCCCAATGTAACAAGTATTTAAATGCTTCTAAACCTGAAGTACATCAGCAAGATGGTTTCAGTAATTGGAATTCCAGTTACAGTTCATAAATAATCAAGTAAAATTCTATTTATTTTCTTTTTTTTTTTTTTTGAAGTTCCCACATTGGAACTTGTTTAAAACTTAGTTATTTTTGCCTATAGATTTATTCTGTTGAATATTTAGCATAAATTTAATGTAGGCATTTAATTTATATATTTTGGGAGCTGTGTTACTTAATGTCTTCTAAGATAATAGTGGGCTTGTCTAAGACAGGACCTTTTCTTTCTATAGCTACTTACCTGATGTTATTTCAAGTCTTACTTCAGTTTTATTATTGTGGGATTTATGCTTGTATTGAGGATGCTCTTTCACATGTGAAAAGTTGCTTAAACATGAGAAGATGGCATTCTACATGGGTGCAAAAATGGAGTGGGTCTGGTTTGGTATGCATTATTTCAAAGCTGTGAGTGTGTTAGTAACACTAGCAATCACAAGGTGACTACGTTGCATCTGATGCATTACAGAAAAGCAGACAGGCTTGCCGGGGAAGCACGGCAGACTGGATGGCTTCATAAAGGACAATCTTAAACTCTGAGTTTATTCAAACCTTACACGCTTTTTTGTTTTACTCATTTGACACTTAATTGAAGCAGAGTAAGTTACTCCTAAAACAGTGATCCAGTTTCTGAAGGTTGCAGCCTTTGTTCTTTGATAATACTTGAGGGTTCAAGTCTGCAGATGTCCTCTATGGTGGAGAGATTGTGATGCTCGGAGATGACCATGCAGTAACTGGAACTTGAAAGGGGGTGTCCCAATGTCTAAAGTGGAGGTGATGAATTTCTCTTTCCAAAGATCCTCAGCAATGATGTATGCTTCTGACAGAATCAGAAAACCCGCAGTAGCAGCTGGGCATGTTTGTGCATGCCTGTAATTCCATCACTGGGGAGTGGTGACAGGAGGATCAGGGGTTCAAGACCATCCTCAAGCTACATAGAGCTAGACAGTAAGTTTAGGGCTAGCCTGGACTACATGATCCCTTGTCACATTAAAAGAAATAAGAAAGAAAATTCATACTAGAAAAGTACCTAACGTGGCTCAATATGAGCTCTCTTGGAAAGGGGGAAATAATAGAGATAGTGCTTAGGAAGCCAGCTCTGTAACAATTCCTTATCAAACTACTGTTCCCGACAAGGTGCGTGTAGCAGTGAAGGGAGAGGAATGTCTCTCTTCCTCTATACTTTTTAGTGACCCCGTCATGTCTGGTGTGCCTTAAATCTTAACTTTAAATGATAACTCTATGGATTGTTTACAGATAAAGTTTTACGCTGGGACCAGATTAGCCATGCATGGTTGGTCCTCTACAATAATAATTTTAAATTCTCTTTGATTTTAAATCTTCCTTTAGAGTCATATTTACGATAGATTCCTTCAGAAAAGCTAGTGCTTTGGTACCTGACTTAGTATAATCAATTGGATATAATGCTGCTTCAAAAAAAAAAAAAATGGCTTTTCCTTCTCATTCCAAAAATCCATCCAGTTAGGGAGAAAAAAATCCCTATTATCAGCAGATGATTGTTCAGACTTGAAATGGGAAAGGGAAAGAGAGATAGAGAATCTTCACATCTAGTGGTGTCGCAAACCCTCTCTTTAGTCTGTTTTACCACCTATTTTTGAAGAGAGTGAACTTTGTCCTGCAGTCTCATATTTACAGAGCTTAACTGCTTTGTACCTCATTATTTTTACATACTGTTTAGGGTTAATATCTACACTTACGCTGAATTTAACATTTTCCCCTTGGAGAAATTGCCTCTGTCCCTTTCTAATTTAGTCGTACTGTGCTTAAGGAGTGCTTTTTCTTCAGAGGCCGTCGTTTCCTCTCTTGTGCTCGTAACTTACGTGGTCTAACAGCTGTGTGCCCAGTCCTTGCCTCTCTTCTCTCACTCTGGCTCCTTAATTTCAGGGAGGTCTTAGAACAAGCGGCCTCTAGGCTTTTAGCCTTCAACAGCTACACTGCTGGGTTCTGCTGTCCAACTCTGGTCTGTGTGTGCTGCAAGGCAGCCAGTACACTCTAGAGTGATTCTGATGTCATGTTAAAAGCAGAGACTTCTACGTGATCATGGTGCTGCTTTGAGATATTTTCTCTTTAAAACTGTCAGTTCTCGAAGAATGAAATTGTTAAGCCTTTCATTGTGGAGGATTTTCCCCACCTGGTGGAAATGGGCAATGGATCAAAATCCAATCCTAAGTGACTGAATTCTTGCTGTCCTAGTGTGGGAGAATGCACTCTCTTTGTGTCTCTTCTCTGTTCTGTTTCAGTCATGTCCAGCACATACCTTGGACTCCTTTACAAGTGATCATTCCTCCCCTCTGAGTAGGTGCCCTCAGTGTTTTTTAGCCATTTAAAGCTGATTTGACAAGTGGCCACAAACTTAGTCTGAAACTTGTATTCACTGTATAGTTATTAATAGAAATAGCAACTATCCTTAATACTCAGTTCACTGCTCTTAAGATGACATTTCTATGCCAGGAGGCAGCAGCGTGCACCATTGGACTCTCTGGACAGGAGCCCACACTATTGCAGTGATGGAGCTGTCACAGTAGTCCTGCCTGGGAGAGGCTGGGCCGTGGGGGCACTCCCCTCCAGGCATTCAAGATTACACAGCCTAGCCCATTCTGGCTGGAGAGCACCCAGCCCTTTCCTTGCTCAGTGGCACCTTTTTCTGGGCAAGAAGCTATGAAGTCACTTTATTATCCATGCGTGCTTCAAATAAATTCAAAGATACAGCTGCTGAAGGGAGAAAATTGACCACTACTGATTTAATTCTCCAATCGAAAAGCAATTCAGAGTACCGCATGCACACATCCACACTTGCCTGTTTTTCTGGGAAACTCGTTCACTAGGGATTTATAGGCATCTGGGCTGCACTTTGAATGTCACACTTGTGACTTTAGAGTAGCTATTGATTTTGTGTTCGTTTGTTTTTAAATTGTTCTTCATTTCTTTTCATTAAAGGTTTACTCAGCTAGCTTAGACAGCATCGTTTGTATTCAATAGCTGAAACCTTGGTACATTGACATTTAATGCGTGAGCTTGTGTTATGTAGCCAGAGCCTACAAAGGCTCTTGTCAGGAGTAGGCACACTAGCTGAGGCTGGTGCTCAGAGTCTGTAGTGCAAGCAGCGATAGCGCGATCGGGTGATGCCTAGCTCGTTGAGAAGGGGATGCTGTGCACTCTTGTAGGTGTGAGGGCATGCAGCTTCGGATCTTGAAATGATGTACACATACACACTTTATATATATATGTACGTATGTATGTATGAAACATGGAATTAGTTTGTCAAAAATGTGTGTGGTTAGTATTTTAGCTTAGTGCAACTATTTCCACATTATTTATTAAATTGATCAAAGACACTTTGTTCTTGGCACCTTGAATGTTAACATTCGAGCGTGCAGTGTGTATTCCTTTAGATTGTTAAAGCTTAATTACTATGATTTGTAGTAAATTAACTTTTGAAATATATTTGAGCCCTTCTGTAGTGTAATAGGGCTCTCACAGGGTGGGAAGATTTTAATTTTCCAATAGCTAATTGAACAAAATGGCTTCATTGTGTATTTTGATTTATAGGCGTCTGTAGGTGTCTGGGTCCCAAGGACATCTACTGAGGATAACTGTTTTAGGCGGGTGTAGTGGTTTTAGACTAAAGCTAAGTGACTTGGAGAGCTGGAGCACCTTGTTCAGATCCAGATCCCTGTGACTCATGCTCCTCTAGGATTTGAAACACAAGTCCCAGTCAGTTTCACATCTCAGTTGGAGAGGCAGACTTCTTTTCCAGTAACATTGCCCACCGAGTGTTGCTGTGGGTAAAATCAGTAGAAAAGGTAATAAACATCTGGGAAGATCCCTGAAGAGGCCAGTTGTCACATTTGTGAATGTACCTTTTACATGCTTACCAGTGGAGACGTTCGGCTTCAACTTTTCAGACCCTAAAACCAAGCCAGCAAGTAACAAGTCCTTAAGATTGGAGAAGGCCAGGAGCTCTGGTCTGAGGCAGAGGTCACCCTTTGCTAGGTAGAGAGCTTGAGCCACCGAGAGCCACTCTCTAAAAACTAAATACGTTTGAGAGTTACTTGGTGAAGCAAGTGTAGCGGTGCAGGCTTTAATTCTAGCACTTGGGCTGTCGGTTTGAGACCAGCGTGCAGCACACAGAGACCCTGCTGAGAAAAGCAAAGTGGAGGAAGAGGCTGCCGGTCTGTGGGATTCCCGTCTGCATGAGCCCTGGCTTTTACTAAAAAGAACCTGCTGCCTCTAGAGCAGGGATGGGAATAGAAGCTACACCTCTCTTGTAAATGGAATTTAGAACAAGGTGTTCAGGTGAAGTCTCTACTAGTCAGAGTTTCAGCAGCTTAAATTGCCAATATTTAAGAAGTTGACTTTCAGAACTATCTGCATGCGCCTCTCTCCTTGCTGCCATTGCTCAGCTAAGCAGAGATCATCATCCTTAAACACAGAGGAAGCTCTCAGATGAGCATGGACAAGCTCAGAAATCCCAATAGTACTTGGTTTAGACCGCGCTGCTTCTGTATTAGGTTTCTTCTCAGCTTTTAGCCGCTGGGGCTCTCTGCCTGTTCTGTACCTCTTTGGAAGACGTCAATTTGGAGGTGCTGCCTTTCAAACCAGTGCCATGGCGTCCATATTGTTGAGCTTGTTGCTGACTCAAAGGTGTCCCCATTATGCTCACACTTGGCACGTCAGTGACATGAGCATTCAACAGTGCTGGGGTGGGGGTGGGGCCTGTGAAGGCCCACTTGAGGGTGAGACACCGGGTTGGTAAGCACAGTTAGGGAAATTTCTACTTAGCCTCCGTTTTGAATGATTTTGAGAAATTTTATATATGGAGGATGGAAATGCTTATATATTTATTGATGATCTTTTTATTTGAAATTAAAATCATTTGGTAAATAATGGTTTGATATTTGGGGAGGGTTTTGGAGGGGCAGTTAAGATGGTTGATACAGTACAGGCCTGGTGACTCTTCAGAAAGGTGCTGTTGCTCATAGGAGGGAGGCCATTATTTTGTACATGATTGAATCTTTGTGTTATGTTTTTTTTATCCAAAATATTTAGGCATCTGACACTTTCAACCAAAATTTCAGTTATATACTGTGATTTTTATTTGTTGCAATACATTAAAATTCAGAGGTACTTTGGGGCTCAAAAGCTAGAATTTCTAAGTCAGTATGTGCATTTCACATAATAAGCTGTTAATGGTGAGCAAAGTATTATATACTAACTAGATTTTCCACATCTGTATAGTATATTATATGTATTTTGTGGTATTGAGATTATAGAAAGTTTAGAGTGTCAAACATGCGTTTAATGTGTATTTTTAAACAAATTTATGGCGATTAAAATATTTGGAGACAAGGGTATCACATTTCAATTTGTAAACTCTTTTTAACTCTGTGTCATTATAATGCTTTGTATAATGCCAAACCATAGCTGGAGAAACTAAGTTTAATAAATATCAGATAGCTTTTCTGTATGATGTTTATATGCACTGCGTTCTCCCTTCTTCAGACCCTACTGTGGCCATTTCTTGTACCTGCTCCTTTGCATCTTATTTGTGCTGCAAAGGTCGGGTCTGGCCAGCACAGGTCTCATTTTGGACTTGGGGCTGGATAGGTGACCTAGTGGTTAAAGGCATTGACTGCTCTTCCAGAGGACCCGGGTTCAACTGCCAGCACCCACATGGCGGCTCACAGCTGTCTGTGATCCAGGGGATCCGATACTCTCCCACAGACATGAATGCAGACAAAATACCAATGCACATAAAATGCATCTAAATTTTTTTTAAAAAAACTTAATGGCCATGGGTCCTTGTCCGTGTATCTCAATTGTCCTGTACCAACAGAAATCATCAATCCCTTTTTGATGGTCTTAAGGTATAGGCTATTATTTATTTTTACTACTTATTTTTACTATTTATTGTTTGTTTTTGTTTTTCTGAGACAGGGTCTCACTGTAGCCCTGCCCAGTGTGGAACTCACTATATAGACCTGGCTGGCCTTGAACCTACAGAGTTCTGCCTGCCTCTCTACCTCTGCCACTGTCTCTGCCTCCTCCTCCACCTCCCTGGTACTGGGATTAAAGGCAATGTGCCACCATGCCCAGCTTATTGTTTGTTTTTTTTTTAAATCAGCCTCTCTGAAATTTCTGTTTTATGTTCACAGTTAGATAAACTTGCGTGTGTCCTCAGGTGGCACGTGCCAGCCTGAAGAGCTCCTTGCCGAGGAAAGAGCCACAAGTTTGGATCTGCCAGAGCTGACCATTGTAAGCTTATGTGCTGCCTGCTCTCATGCTTGCTCAGTATGGGAGTCTTTGAAGAGTGGTATTCACGCCCCCCAGGTGGAACTGCGCCACCCTTCAGACAGTGCTGTTTCCTGTAAGGTTTGAAGTGACTCAGTCAAGGGTCAATTCCAGACTGCCAGAATTTAGATTTGAGACATTTAATAGTTTTTCTAGAAAAATAAACTCTGACAAACTTAGTTTATATACAAATCAACAACATTCTAAGAAGAAATGGAGACCAGTTTAAAGCAAGTATCTGTCTTTAAATATTAAAAACACAAGACTGCTTCGCTTTAGTATCTCCAGCTAAGATGTAGTTAACCAATATTCCATGCAACTGTTGGAGGTGACTCTTCCCCTGGTATGAACATCACTCCTGAGCCACACTTAGGGAACAGCGTCTTTTTCTAATGGGGGAAGAAAGAAAAAGTGATTAAGATTAGATGTAGACCTAAAGTGGCCACCTCTGCTGCCTCCGCTATTCCTTGTTTTGTCTGCCCAGTGTTACGGATCTAGATGGTTCTTGGCTATCAAGAAACTCTTCTCCCTAGAGCTTGCAGCTCCATACACACACACACCGCCTCAGCTTGGCCCTCGGGTCTCTGTGATTTCTGCTAGCACGCCTTGCAGCTTTCCCAGGCACTCTGATCCACCCTGACCCAGGTTTGTCAAATACCTGCACAGTCTTGTGGTACACTCCGAATCATCCCGGCACGATGCACCAATGGGCCTGAGGGAAACCCCTCTCCAAAACGGGGTCATTCTCCGGGCTCTCTTCGCTGGACTCAGCTCTGGTACTGGGGAGCCACTGACCTACAGAACAAAGGCGTATTCCCTTTGTTGGAGGGAGAAGGTGGAGAAGCACCACCCGTAGAAAAGGGGCCATTTTCAGGTTGCAGGAGCTTGACCTGCATTTCTCAGAACTCAGACTGACTCTGAATTCCACTGCCTCTACTGTTTCTTTTCTTACCTGGCCCAACAGCAGCAAGCAAGCCAGGAGCACTGCAAAGAGTTTGAGCTGTAACATATTGGCAGAAGGAAGATGTTGGAGCCTGAAAGCCAGGGGCCAGTTCTTGTTTCCTTTTATAGGCTGACACCTATCTGCCTTTCTCCTGGTTGCCAGCTAAGATAGAAGATAGGGGCAAAGTCTGTTTGTAATCAGGATCGATTCAGTGAGTTAATGTGTACCCAAGGAATGTACTCAAGGGCTGCACTTCAGGCACATTGCACTGACTGATCCCTCATCTGGACTTTGATGGTGTTGCTTGTCTGGACCCTTATACCCATCTTATCAGGAATCAGCATTGTCCTGCCCTCCTTCTGACAGCCACATGAATCCATGAGGAGACCAGGAACCTGGCCATACTTTTAACATAGCTCAGCAGCCCGGGAATGTAACAGAGGAAGCATGTGTGATGTCCTGGGTTCAATTCCCAGAACCAAGAATATATCCTAAAATACCTCAGTGAGACGGTTATAATCAAAATAGGATTCTAATAAAGTCTTCAGAAGTAATGTTGACCTCTGACCTTTTCTAGGCAAAACCCACTGTCCTGTTGTGTACCGGCAGCTGGATATGGCCTTCTATTCCTTCTGTGGGAGGCTACATAGACGGTTTACAGTATCCCAGGGCGCCCATTCAGGAGGGGCTCTCGTTCTAGCAGTCTGCACTGCCTTCCAGTGCAGCTCTGGCTGTGCAGAATTAAAACTGTACCTTTCCTTAGGCTTTTGTTTTTGAGTTGAGGAAGCAGCTAGAACTCTGAAGTCAGTGTCATTACAGCTTGTGGACTGACACTACCAGATAAATGGTGGGCTTCATCCTCAGCCGTTAGGGCTCCGTGCAGCAGATGTTGAGTGAGGCTGAAGCCCAAACATTGGTCTTAGTAGGAATGAGTCCCTGTAGGTTCTTAGATTGACACTTGATTGTACCGAATGTGACCAGTTATCAAAGGGACAAGACCTTTGATTCTGAGAATCTCTTACCACATAGACCAGGCCGACCCAATTTCACAGTCCTGCCGTGGTCTCGGAAGTGACCCACCGTGCTCAGCCATTGGAGGTTTAATACATTGGATGGGGGAAGGTGAATCGGAAGTCATGCATAGGAATTTAGATCTCCATAAGCCCATAAGAAAGCACAAAAAAAAGTTGGAAGTAAGTTTTCTCTCCCTGATCCACTATCTCACCGATAACAACCCTTCCCAAGGCTCTTCTCATGCTTCATGACTGGACATTTGGACAAGAGCCTGTTTTTGTTTCTTTGTCCCTAGCTAAAATGGAGGAACTGTTACAGTGCCGAAGGTAGCAGTGTGGCCGGTCACCAGTCAACCAAAACTAAGGTCACTCCTTGCCAAGGGAGAAGTGTGATAGACTTCGGAGCTGGAGTGGGTGGGATTTAACTCCAAAGATCTGTCTGCCCTGATTCCAGTCCTCTGCTTAAAAAAAAAAAAGGGGGGGGGGGATGCTGGCAGGGAACTCCATACCATAGGAGTCTGAGTAAAGCCAGACTCTGGTGGAGCTCGCCTTTAATCCCAGCACTTGGGAGGCACAGGCAGGTGGGTCCCCCAGGTCCCAGGTTCAAGGTCAGCCTGGTGTACATAGTGAGTTCCAGGACAGTCAGGGCTACACAGACAGAGAAACCCTGTCTCAAAAAAAAAAAAAAAAAAAAAAAAGTTGCTGAGTAGATGGGACTACTAAACACAACCCACTCGGGACTAGTCAGTCACCCCCTCCCTCTCCATAAATGACCTCAAGTAGAAAACTAAATGGGAACTTCTGCAGAGATGAGGAGAGGCTATGCCATGACCCAGTGAACATTGAGTAAGAACACAGATGTGATTAGATAAGCGAGGCTGAACAACGTGATGTCCTAGAATGAGTTAGGTCTGTGGGCTCGGGGCCAGCCTCTCCTTTCACCGGTGCTCAGGCATGCAGCTCATCCAGAAGATGGGTGTCCCCCCCCCTCCTTCCATTCCTGCCTTCCTATGCCCTGAGCAAAATCAAAGTAACCTTTTGTGTAGTCTCTAAAGTTCAACGTAGCCCAGCCAAGGGAAAGCGCCTGAAGCCCATGCCCTGTGCACAGGAAAAGATCATTCAGCCCCATGGGTGCAACATGGCCCAAGGCCCCCAGATTGAAGCCATCTGCAGGCCAGCCCTTCTCAAGGAATGACGTGATAGGGACAAGTTATTCAACACCTAAACAAAGCCTGTGGTGTTTAAAGGAAATGTGGAAGCTAGGGATGTAGCCCAGGGGTCAGGTATTTGCCTATCATGTGCAAGGCTCAGAATTCAATCCCTAGCACAAAAATAAATAAGTAAATAAAAGGAGCACCCCTCAAACTTTAGCATGGAAGCCCTTAGCAGAATTGACACCCATTACTCACAGCCATTGTGTATCTTTGCTGTGGAGAACTACACTGTACCTGAAATTTAAACAATCTGTCTGTTTTCTCCTATCAAGGATGTTGCTAAATGAATGAAGAGCTCCAAGGTCCTTCCTCATGGGCCTCAGCTGCCCTAGTTTCAGCTGTAAGACAAGAACTGTCGGCTGGGAGACAGAAGCTGCAGGCTGCTAAGTACGCTGACCTTCTGACCACAGGCCAGCCTTTCTCCTCTTCAGCTTTAGTCTTTGCTCGGACAGTGAGATGAGCGTAGGTTTGGGACCTCATGGGCACATTGTTGGGATTCAAATAATTAATTTACAAGGAGAGAGAGGGAAACAGGTTTGCTGGCGGGAGCTTGCTCATTCCAGGTACAACCCCCAGGGACCGTTCAGAGAAAAGTGCTGGAAGGAAACAGGAGAAAGGGTAAAGGCTGCTGGGTAGCTGTCAGAATGCCTTCCAGATGGAGAGGGGATCATTAAGATGTGGCGGCAATTGGACACTTTTTTGTGTTGAACCTGAGCAAGAGGTGCCTAATAAAAGGTGGAAGACTTTGAAATGGAAAAATGTTTCCAGGTAAAATTTCAACAAAGGGTCAAAGTGTATTTGCTTTTTGGCAGGTGTCTGGGCCCATAATTTGTAGGCCTATGTCCTGACTACAGTACCGGCAGAGTGAAGAGAGCTCCCTTCCCCAGATGGCAGCCCATAGGGGAGAGCCATGTGGGGCAGGAGCATGGGCCTTTCCAGAGTTAAATGGAGCAAATGGTTGCAACCCAGCAGACGGAAGAGCCAGCTGTATCTTAGGACTGGGTATCTGAGACATAGGATGTTCCTTCCTTAAAAGGCTTGACTCATGGAGATAGGGAAATGGCTTAGTTGGATAAGTACCAGCCACACAAACAGGAGGACCTAAGTTCAGATCACCAGCACCCACATGACAAGCCACGAGTTGGCAGCATGTCTGCAATCCTAGTGCTGGGAAGCAGAGAGAGAATCCTTAGGGCTCACTGACCAGCTCGGCTAGCTGAATCTGTGATGTTCAGTGCCTTGTCTCACAAAAACACAGTGGAGAGTGATGGAAGATGCCTGATGTCAACCTCTTGCCTACACACACTGGTGGGGAGAAGTTGACTCACACTGTCCTTTATGAATCTCTGTAAATAGAGCAAGTCCCTAAGGCGGGAAAGATGGCTCAGTGGTTAAGATTACTGGCTCCTTCCCAAAGGACCCATCTTCAACTCCCAGCACCCACATGGCGGCTTACAACTGTATGTAGCTTTGCTTCCAGGAATCTTACACCCTCATGCAGACATGTACGCAGGCAAAACACCAATGCACATAAAACTATATTCTTTTTTCTTTAAGTAGCCTTAAAAAAAAAAAAAAGTCCCTAAAGTAGCTCCAGTCCTTACATCAGAGTCACTGGGCACCTGTCACACAGCGGAGACCTCTGCCTCTCTTGTGAGAGACAGTCTGAAACAGCTTTAACAGTTTCAGCCATGAGCAGAACCTCTGAACATCAGAGCGCTTACAGCAGGGTCGTCAGCTGGTTCACAGTGGGTCGGAGGGATGGTTCTGCAGTAAAGGTGCTTTTGCCATTAAAGCCAGGCACCCAAGTGTGATCCCTGCCATTGAGATACAGACGGAAGGCGAGGGTCTGGCCTCCACATGCACACTGCAGCATTGGCGCACACACACACAATCTATACATTTTTAAAAGGTCAGACCAAGAGGCTCATGTCCTGCTGTGGGCTAAGAAAACTTAAGGTGCTCTTCTGAGCTTGTGTGGCCAAAGTCAAGATGGATACAGCTGTACCTCTGCCTCCTTGGGACCTGCAGCTTAATTCAGATTCTAGAAACTCTTAAAATACGAGTTTACGACCCAGGAATAAATGAGGACAGAGATGGTGTGCAGCCCTGAAAATTTCCCTGGGACCACCCATTTCACTACAGCCAACACAAGTACTTTGTTTTTCATTTTCCTCCTTGCTTGCTTGCTTGCATCTCATTTGTTTTTTGAGACAGCTTTCTCTAACATCCCTGGCTGACCTGGACTCGCTTTGGAGACCAGACTGCCCTCAAACTCAGATTGCCTGTCTCCTGAGTGCCTGAGTAATGGGATTAAAGATGTGTGCCACCACACCTAGCTAGCCCAAGCACTCTGGGTTGGTGTTTTATAGATAGGACACTGAAAGCTCCAGATGTGACAGTTTAAGGCAGTGGTTCTCAACCCCTTTGGGAGTCAAATGACCCTTTCACAGCAATCACCTAAGGCCATCAGAAAACACATATTTACAGTTCATAATAATAGCGAAATTACAGACGTGAAATGGCAACAAAAGTAATTTTATGGTTGGGGGGGTCACATGAGGAGCTCTACTAAAGGTTGAGAACCACTGCTTTAAGGGCATGGGTGCAAGGCTACGTCAGACAGCCATTTCCCATATCCTACCTCATAGTCAGATGCCCTGTTGGAAGTAATTTGCTCCGAGAACGTTTGGCAATAACTAGCAATCAACAGGCCAAAAAGTCTGAGAGTCAGACAGACTGCAACATGTGCCCTTAGCTGATTGACAGGGCCAGCCCAGGACTGCCAACTGCACCCACCCGATCATCTCCAGGTGAAGAGAAATTAGGGCATCTGAAGGCTCTAGAGCAGGTGGTGTACCTTTTTCATTGAAGCCTTTGTGGTACACATATTGACTAAAAGCCACTGTTGGATTGGCTCCATGACACAAAGCCGAACATGGTTCCCTCACTGACCCCTGCTGTAACAGCCAAGGGACTGCCTCATGCCCTCCTTCCAAAGCTAAAACCCCACTGGCTAAGGCAGGCCTTCCTCCCTGGGGAGCAAGACAGCAGCGCTTGGTGCTGAGAGCGCACACTGGTGCCTGGCTCGACCGGCTCACTGTCATGTGATTCTGGGCAAAGTACTTAAGCTGTGGCTCTTCATGGGCAAAGGGATTAGAATGTTTGCTTCAAAGGCTGCCGTGAGTTAAAAAGTCATTGACGTGTCTAGAAAGAACAGCCGGCATCTTAATTACGGTGTCATCACTAGACTTTATGGTTATAATGGGAGCAGAGGGTTAAGGGCTGGCACTCTAGAGACCACGCCACTCATACCCACCCCAAAACCCCATTCAGAACTTGTGCTGAGAAAAAAAATCGCCATGACCCTGAATATCACCAGTCACACTAAGAACTCGGCTTTTAAAACAAAACAAAGGTGGACCAGGTATGGCGGTGAAAACCGTGACTCAGGAGGCAGAGGCAGGCGGATTTCTTAGGAGATCCAGGCCATTCAGGGACACACAGTGAGACCTTGTCTCAAAGAGGCAAACAAAGTCACCAAAGGAAAGACCATAAGTAGTTTATTGTCTTCAAGACACTACAGTGTAGACTCCTCTCCTGGAGAACGGTCTTTCAAAGGCAGGAAACTGTCATCCAGATGCATGCTGCTCACTTGTCGTTTGCATACATGGCTGGATCCTTCCTTTTGGACCGCTCGAACTCCTGGTTTCCCCATGTGTAGATCAGGTAGACCGCCACAAATGCTGTAAGATTCAAGAGAGCCAGCTGTGAGTGCACGGAGCACATAACCTCTTGGCTCCTTTCTTTTTAAACGTTATTTTATTTTGTCATTTTGCTGAGGAGCACTGTGTGTGTTTGCACGGCTGCGCACCATAGGCATGCAGGGCCTGGAGGCTGGGAGATGCAGGGCCCCCTGGAACTGGAGTTATGGATGGTGGTTACACCACCATACGGATGCTGGGAATCCAACCCCGGTCTTCTGCAACAACCAGTGTTCCAGCCAGCTTGGTGGCACACGCCTGTAATCCCAGCACTTGGGAGGCAGAGGCAGATGGTTCTCTGTGAGTCCGAGGCCAGCACGGTCTACAAAGTGAATCCAAGACAGCCAAGGCTACACAGAGAAACCCTGTTTCAGAAACAAATAAAACCCCAAACCACCAACAAGCAGTGCGCCATCTCTCCAGGGCCCAAGGACTTACTGGCCTCAAACAAGACATTCACCCACCTCTGTCCTGCTCTCAGTCCTCATTTCTGACTTTCAAACAACTCTGCCTGTTCTACTGTCCCTAGTTTTTAACTTTTTCGTTTGGTTTTGGAGACAGTGTTTCTCTGTGTAGTCCTCACTGTCCTTGAACTCAGAAATCTGCCTTCTGACTGCTTTAATTAAAGGCCTGCATGCCCAGCCCTTGCTTGCCATTTTATGAGTGATTCGCCAGTATGCATGTTTGTGCACCATGCGTACGGACCGTGGCTGAGGTAATGAAAGAGACTGTCAGATCCCTTAGGACTGGAGTTACAGCTGGTCGTCAACCATCACATGGGTACTGGGGACAGAACCCGGATCCTCTGAAAAAGCGACAAGTGCTTTTAACTGCTGGGCCATCCCCAGCGCTGTGCTTCTGTTGTTTTCAGACAGGCTCTCACTGTATGGCCCTTGCTGGCCTTGATCGGGCCTCAGCCTCTCCACCCAACTCAAGTGTACCTTCCACGGGTTCTCGGTATATTCACAATGCCATGAAACCATCAGCACAACCGGCCGCATATCTAACACAAGACACTGCATCAGCATTTCATCGCTGATAATGGGCAGCGATGACCTGAGGGAGACGTTGGAGTCGACCAAGTGACCTTAGGCCAGTCGTTTCGATAACAACTCCACGTCTCTCCAAGACGGTGGAAGGAAAGTTGCGCGGCCCTCCCCACGCCCGCCCCGCACTCACGCGGCGCCACGCGCAGGATGCGCTCTCGAGTGCGGCGCAGCATGTTGGGGATGCCTTTGCTGAAGTAGTTGGGGAAGGCGCGCTGCTCAAAGGGCGACAGGCTGTAGGAGATCACGTGCCGCACCCGCGCCAGGTTCCCGAACTCGCGGCCCATGGTGGCGGCGGCCCTGAGGTCGGAGGATAGGAGCGCGGCTCAGTGTCGCAAGGGGCTCCCACCGCCCCACACCAGCCCTCAGCACCGGGTCACCTCTACCTCCGCGGCGCTGAGCCCGGCTTCCGCGCGTCACTTCCGGGAGGAGCGGAAGCCCAGCTGGCGGTCGTGAAGTCATTTCCGGGAACTACCAGTTTCCTTTCATCTCTGGGGGCGGAGACGCAGGGAGCCGCTGACCCGAGTGGGCGTGGTCTGACCTCCCCGGAGCGCCGGAGTGGACCGGAAACTAGGGGGCAGGGGCGGGGCTTGCAGATGCCCGGTGCAGGAGGGTCGTACCGGAGCGCAGAAGACGGGTGGGCGAAGCTTATGTTGCTGCGGGGGCGGGGCTTGACGGGGAATGGGCGGGGTTTAGAAGGCCCTCCCCCCCCCGTCCCCGGGAGCTTAGGCGTTGACATCGCTGATGTCCAGGCCTATTGGGAAACGGGGCGGGGCCTATGGGGTTATAGGGCGCGATTTATGGCAACGCGAGGGGCTTAGGAGCGCATGGGCCTCCCGAGACGTGGTCCTTTCCGCTCAGTGCCGGACGTTTCTCTGGAAAAGGGCAGAAAAGGGACTTGCGCTCCTCTGTCCCTTAGCCTCCGCCAGGTGTTGTCCCCGCAAACAAAAGGGGGCCGCAGTACAAAGTTAGGGACACCGAATTAGGGTTTCGGTAACGCTGCCTAGCTAGGCACTGGCCGGCTGTTGACTTATCCAAGAAGTGACACAAACGTTTCTCCCAGTTCAGCCACAGGTCCTCAGCTCTCCGCTTGGCAGTTGCCAGACGCGGATAGTGGAGGTGGAAACCAGGCAGGAGGCGCTAGGGGCGTCGTCAAGCCCAGACTCTTTCCACTCTCCAAAGCGCCTTCTCCGGATACTTCCCTGTGGGACCCACCGACCTTTCTGCTCTTTTCAGTGCCTGTGAATGGGATGGGTGGCTGTATATAATCTGGCAATCAAACTGGGGCGGCTTGGCAGACAGCTTCAGTTTTGCAAGGGTTTTTCGAGTTTTATCAATCTGCTGTTGCGCAAAATGATTTTGTATCTTGTGTTATGAGTGCGGGTTGACTTTCTCTCAAGAGATCGTCTCCTGCTGACGGGTGCTAGGGAGCCCCTCCTTTCATGACGCACCTGCTCCTGGTTTTCCTTAAGCATTATCTAGCCCGGTGTCAGCCCCACGGCAGGAACACAAATCCTTTAGTCAAGGACTGAAATACTGCCGTGGTTTCTGCCATCTGGGTGGGTGGTTAAAAAAAAATAAAAAGACGTTTATTTAATAACACTTTGCAGATATCTCAAAACTTTTCGATCAAAGTGTGGTCAAATGAATTGTGGACCCAGGGGCATCAGAATACTGTGCTTTCCGTTCCATTTTAAAGATATGTATTTTGTATGTGAGGGTTAGGGGTACATGTGGGTGTAGGTTGGAACACAGCCCGTAGGAGTATGAATTCCCGGGATTCAATTCAGGTTTTTAGGACTGAATTTTGGTCACTGGGCTTGGTGGCAGGTGCTGTCTTGTCACTCCAGGTAGATATTATTTTTTAAGATTTGTTTCTTTTCATTTTATATTGGGTGTGTTGCATTCCTAAAGATGCCAGAGTAAGGTGTTGGATCCCCTGGAAATGGAGTAACACATGGTCATGGGTCACACAGTTTGTTCTGGGAAGAGCAACAGGTACTCTTAACTTCTGAGCCATCGCCTCTCCAGCCCCAGGATAGTGGTTTTTTTTGTTTTTTTGTTTTTTTTTTTTTTTAATTCGTCAAGGTTAAAGGTGATGTCCTCTTTTTATTTTGAGACAGGGTCTCTGCATTGTGTAGCTCTGGCTATCCTAGAACTCTCTATGTAGACCAGGCTGGCCTTGAACTCACAGGGATCCACCTGCCTGTGCCTCCTAAATGCTGGGCTCAAAGGCGCGCACCAGCACACCTGGCTCCTCTTTTCCAAACACACACATAGCCAGTAGCTGTTGTCCTGTGCCAACTTTATATCACTAAGCCAGCCAGGCAGGCTGGACAGCCCAACATCACTCTGGAACGTTCATACCCGTTGTGACTTTCTGTCTCTCCAACTCACTCTGCAGTAAGTAACCAGTTATCCCAAGCACCTGGAAGTGGAAGCTGTGGAGAGAGAGGATGAATCGACAGAGAAAATAAAATCCAACATGGTTGCAGTTGCATCTCCAGCCCTAAGAGGTGCTGTTTAAAATCCCTGGGGTTTCTCTTGGGTTTTCAGCCATATAACTAGTCCATCAGAGGAATGATACTTGATGGGTTGGAGGTAAACTTCGGGAGAAATGGGGAAAGAAAGCTAAGGAAGTAGATAAATCTGTGTCTAATGAGAACAAATTGGACAAAGACGTGCTGGCAGCTGACTGCTGTAGAGCCGAGGAAAAATGACTTCCAGCTAGGCACCCTTGAGGCCTGATTACAGAAACGATGCTGTCTCCCACACCTAAACTTTATTTAAGGACCATGCCAGGGCTGCCCCAGGCTTTAGAAAGAAGACTGGCACGGGGAGATGCGTTCCTTCTTAGTTCTCTTAGGCCATGGCACTTCCCAGCAGCTTCCTGTTGGGGTTCTGCTGCTTTGCCTGGCTGTGTTTTCTTACTAGCCTCAGCTCTCAGGCTTCTCGGCAAGAATCGCAGACTAGAGCCAGTACAAATTTAGAGTCTGAGGCAGACCCCTGGTCCTTGCTGCTGCCGGTAGATGGGACCGAGAGGCCGGGCCTCTTGCCTCCCCTCTTTAAGGTCCTATCTGATAGGGGTGGTGAGACCCCCAAGCCACGGCCTGACTCCAGAGCGCTCTACTACATGAAAAAGCTCTACAAGACATATGCTACCAAGGAGGGGGTCCCTAAACCCAGCAGAAGTCACCTCTACAACACTGTCCGGCTCTTCAGCCCCCGTGCCCAGCAGGAGCAGGCTCCCAGCAATGAGGCAGCAGGTGGGTAAAAACAGAGTATCCACCTAAGCAGAAGGAAGAAGGGGAGCTTTGGCGCCTCTGTTACTGAAAGGAGCCAGTCTACGCTTTGGGCTTGTTGGCTTTACCCTGTCACACGGGCTACACTCCAAACTCTGCATCCTCCTGCCTCAGCACCCTCGAGAACCGGAATCATACAGGTTTACACCACCATGTGAATTTTATTTTGCATGATTCTCGGTATCCACACTGAAACAAACTTTAGCACTTTTCTTTTTAAGTTTGTTTTTTTGTTTTGTTTTTTTTTACTTTTTTGGTGTGGCGGTGCAAGGATCATATGGTGGGTGGGGGGAGGGGCCTCACATATGCTAGCCAAGCCCTCTGCTACTACATCCTTACCCAGCACTGATTTCACTGTTTCGTTTGTTTTTGCTTAAACCATCAGTTAAGAAGCTAATATGATATTGTTTGAGTTTTTGTTCCGTTTTTCTCCTTTTCTTTTTTTTTATTTTGAGACAGTCTCACTTGACAGTCCAGACTGGCCTCAAACTCTCCAAGGACGGCCCTGCCTCGGTCACCCTAGTGCTGGGATTATAGGCCTGTGGTAACTCACCAGCTCAATGTATTAAGGCTGAAAAGAGACTCGTGTCCTGAACAGCCAAAGAAAGTCCTAGAGGTGGCTAGCATCTCTTTGTATTCTACCAAGCTATTGGCCTAGCACTGCGCCTAAAACCTCTTTCTTTGAGCCAGTGGCAGGTGTGATAAATGGGATATTTCCCCCTCTGTTTGTTTTCCTGGAAGAGGAAAGTTTCAGTCTCCGTCTGGCACAGTACATCATCTTTTTTTTAATAAAGAAAATGGTCTGGCCGGGAGGCGGTACAGTTTATGTTCAGTGTACCGGAAGCCCGGAGTTTGACCTCCAGTACCAACCAAACAAAACTCAAGTGGGGTGTGGTGACATGTGACTTTAATTCCAGCCCTGAAGAGGCAGGGGCAGGGGCAGGACGAGCTCTGTGAGCTCAGGGCCAGCTGGGTCTCCAGAGTTCAGGCCAGCCAGGGCTCCACAGTGATACCCTGTCTCAACAACAGAGAAACAAACAAAAAAAAGAAACCAAGCCTCATGTGTTAGTCAACGATGGGAATGGTTTGGTTAGAAGGAAGAGCTGTGCTTTAAAACAAGCCAGCTCCCACAAGTTGCCTCTTGACCTCCATAGGTGCTCCGTGGAGAGTGTGTGCCTGTTAACTCCCCACACCCCCCTCAACACACACACCCTGGCCACCAGTTCCTGGCGGTCAGAACATGAGCACAACCGTACAGGGCCGTTGTGGCTGCTCTAAGGCCCGCTCCCTCCCCCCTGCAGCAGCCTTCCAGCCACGGCTTGATTCCAATCACCAAGGGAAAAATTAACTCGGCCGTCAAATGTTCTCAATTGACTTGCTTCATCCGGGCCTAGAATGTCTTTCAGGCCTAGTGAGGGCAGCTTTGCATGGTCTCCTGGCTGTGTCGGTGGAAATGCCACCCAGGAAAATGCTCAGCTGTCTGTGTTTGGAGCAGACTGTTGGGTATGAAACTGGAGGGTGTAAGGATTGTCTCTTGCTTCTCTTCTCCAGCAAAGCTGTTCTCACTTTTCTGGAGATAAAATGTATCTGCATGTGTGACTTGGAGGCGAGGGTCACGTGTGGAGGTCAGAGAACAGCTTTCAGAACTTGGCTCTCTTCTTCCACCATGTAGATCCTGCGTGCGGCTCAATCTCAAGTCCTCAAGCTTTACTGTGTTCTGCCCACCAGCCCACATTCCCCTATAGCCCAGGCTGGCCTTGAACTCAATCCATAGCCAAAGGGGCTGTTGAACTTCTGGTCCTCTTGCCTCTATCTTCCAAGACTTCCAAGCCACTCCATGTGGGCTTGGGTGATTTTTGAAAGAGTCAGTTTCCTTTAACAAACTCAGGCTGGCCTCAAACTTGCTGTATAGCCAAAGATGGCCTTCACCTCCCAAGTACTGGGATAGGCTTGTGTGTATTTGTGTGTGTGTGTTTGCATGTATTTGTGTGTATGTATTTTTGAAGCAGTCTCACTACATACCTGGGGCTGGTGGCAACCCTCCTGCCTTAGCCTCCAAAGCGATGATATTACAAAAACAGACCTTCCCGCCCAACTCAAGGCATGAGCCCAGGCTCTTGTGCATGCCTGGCAAGCGCTCTGCCACTGGGTTAGACCCCCAGACCCTCTATATTCTTAGCTCCTCTCTCCTCTTTGTTTTGGAGGCTTAAGGAAGTAGGGGAGGGAAGGGAAACTGCCTACAGTCAAGCACTGCTTCCTCCATCTCACCTCCTGCTCCCCCCAGTCTGCAAGCACTTCTCACTGATGGCTTCTCTCCCCAGGAGCCCTACCCACATTGGACCTGCTGTTCAACCTGGATCGGGTCACTGCCATGGAGCACTTGCTTAAATCAGTCTTGCTCTACACTCTGAACTCAGCCGCTCCCTCCTCCACTGTGACCTGCGTGTGGGACCTTGTGGTAAAGGAGCCCAGGCCTTCCGGCAAGGCTCCCCCAAGAGTGCCATACTCCTTCACCTTGAAGAAACACAGATGGATCGAGATGGATGTGACCTCCCTCCTCCAGCCCCTGGTGGCCTCCAGCGAGAGAAGCATTCACCTGTCTGTCAACTTCACGTGCACCAAAGATGAGGCCCCAGAGGATGGTGTGTTCAACGTGCCTCTGTCCGTGCCCCCGTCACTCATTTTATACCTCAACGACACCAGTGCGCAGGCCTATCACTCCTGGCATTCCGTCCACTCCACCTGGAGGCCTTCACCTCGTCCTGGCCAGCATAGGGTGGAGGCAACTGAGGTGGAAAGGTCTCCCCGGCACCGTCGAGGGCAGAAGGCCACCGGCGCAGAGGCGAAGAAGCCGGTCCTCACCGCGTCCTTCAATCTCAGCGAGTATTTCAAACAGTTCCTCTTCCCCCAGAACGAGTGCGAACTCCACGACTTCAGGCTGAGTTTCAGTCAGCTCAAGTGGGACAACTGGATCGTGGCCCCGCACAGGTACAACCCTAGGTACTGTAAAGGGGACTGTCCCAGGGCCGTCAGGCACCGGTACGGCTCTCCCGTGCACACCATGGTCCAGAATATCATCTATGAGAAGCTGGACCCCTCGGTGCCCAGGCCTTCGTGCGTGCCCGGCAAGTACAGCCCCTTGAGCGTGTTGACCATTGAACCTGACGGCTCCATTGCCTACAAAGAGTACGAGGACATGATCGCTACTCGGTGCACCTGCCGTTAGCATGGGGCCACGCCAACGCCTTGAGCCCGGCCCGCAGGGCCATGCTGTGGGCCTCAGTGCCTGCGCAGAGGGCGCCGCGTGACCAGTCTCTCCGAGTCACTCGGTGCACATTGTGTGAGGGGGGAGTGTGTGTTCGGATGTGTGCAGTGTCTGTGGGGATGAAGGACACACGCCGGCCGTTGCCACAAACCAAGTGAAAGGGAGTTTGTTTGGAGATCTTCCTTTTCCCAACCTTCCCACAAGCGTTGTTGATGGACAAAGGGATCCGAGGAAGTCTTGAGTGGAAGTGGAGCTGAGAACACTTGAGAGTGCTGTGGTTTTATGTAAGAGAAGAATAAATTCCTGTTGATGGCATCAACTGTGTGTGTTCTGTTAAAAGACCACTTTCATATACCGTGGCTTGAGGATAGCCAGCCTGGCTTTGATTTTGGTTCTTTTTAGAGCAAAAGGGAGGTGAACTTGGCTGCTCACTCCTGTGAAGGCACAGTCAGTGGGACTGTAGCTAGGACGCATGTCCACTCAGAGGACCACAGTATTAATTCTGCACACGGCTAGCTTACTCAGCTGAGTCACATGAAAGAATGTAACACGTGCCCCATTCATTTAAGGGAAAATGGCTTTCCGGTCCCTCCCCCCCCCCCCCCCCCCCCGCCACACACACACACACACACACACACAGGGTCTCACGATGTAGCTCTGGCTGTCCTGGAACTCCCTGTGTACACCAGGCTGGTGTCCAACCTTCAAGAAATCTGCCTCTGCCTCCCAGGTTCTGAGATCAAAGGTGTGTACCACCACACCTGGCTTCAATGTTCAATTTTTTTTATGTTCATTGGTGTTTGGCCTGCCTGCATGTATGTCTATGAGGGGATCAGATCCCCTTGAACTGGGCTTACAGAACTTGTGAGCTGTCACATGGGTGCTGAGACTTGAACTCCAGTCCTCTGGAAGAGCAGCCAGTGCTCTTAACTCCTGAGTCATTTCTCCAGCCTCCAATGTTCAACTTAAGGAAATACTTTTTTTTTTTTTTTTGGTTCTTCCAGTTTTATACATAGGTTTAATGTATACGTAGGTATAATATATTCCCCTAAGCTTTGGTTTTACTCTTGTTAGGTTTTGTTTTGTTTGGTTGGTTGGTTTTGTGTGTGTGTTTTACTGCTGCTTTTTGAGACAGGGTCTCAAATAGTTCAGGCTAGCCTCAAATTCTCTGTGTAACCCAGGCGTTGCCTTGGACTCCTGATCTTCTGCCTCCATCTCTTGGGTGTTGAGATCACAGGCATGAGTGTTAAAGGTCTTTATGAAGATGTTTATTGTGGAGGGAAGGTATCATGTGCCACAGTGGGCATGTAGAGATCAGAGGACACATGTTGGAAACAGTTTTCTCATTCCCTTCATGTGGGCTCTGGAGCTTGAACTCCAGTCTCCCGTCCTGCACAGGGCGTTCCACTCCAAACCTCTCATCAAGCCTGGATGGAAGATTTTAGAACTATTTTCATCTGGTCATTTTTAAGCCTTCTAGCTTGATAGAAGGAAGCCAAAGAAGTTTCGAGGTACTGTTTTTGTTGCTTATTTTTGCCTCTGATGGTTGGCTTTTTGTCGGTTTCCCTCAGTCTGGGCCTGGACTTTCTTCCCGGTGGGCACAGCGGTGACTGGTCTTAATTGGACCCAGAGGCTTTAGTGGGGTTTTTATGAAAGGGACTTCGAAGTACCAATTTCTAAACAAATGATTTTTACATTTTATATCTGAGTGCACTACATATGAAAAACCAAAGTGCTCATCTAGGAATGAATGGATGAATGCTGTCTACCTGCCTACCTATCATTCTATCTACTGATCACCTACCATCTTCTATCCATATACTGGAAAGGATTACCTAACCTTCAAAAGGAGGAGAATTCTGACACATTCTGTACACAACATGGATGGCTTTTGAGGACAGTATGCTAAATGAAATATTCCTGCTGCAAAAGGACAAATCTCGTCCTCAGTAGTTCAGCGCTTAGGGAGTAGAGCAATAGCTGGGCTGAGTGGGGTAAAGGGAGGGGTCAGGGCTGATGTGTACGTGGAGATGGGTGGTGAATCTCCCGAAACTGGATTTCCTTGGGTTATGAGCCACCATGCGGAAGCAAGAACGAGTACTCTTATCCTCGAGCCATCGCTCCGGCCCCAAGCACTTAACTTTCTTTTAACTCTTTTTATTTTAGGCCTGTGGGTATTTGGTCTGAATGTGTGAATGTGTACCGTGTGCGTGCCTAGTGCCTACACAGGGCAATGGACTCTCTGAAACTGAAGTAACAGAGTATGATCCACCATGTGGGTGCTAGGAATCGAACCCCAAGCCCTGTGGAAGAGTAACCAGTGCCCTTAACCTCTGAGCCATTGTCCCAGCCCCATTTTGCCCACACTGATTAATAACACGAACGAAGCCTGTGTCTCGGTTCTCTTTGCTATATCCCTAGCAGAACTGCTGGATTATGCATTCCATCTTTCTCCTTCAGGGTCTCGTTATGTAGCCCTGGTTGGCCTCAAACTCAGCCCCGCCTCTGCCTCTCCAGTATTGGGATCAAAGGTGTGTGCCACCATACCTCATGTAGACCATGTTGGCCTCGAACTCTTAAATCTTGCTGCTTCTCAGTGCTAGGATCATAGGTGTAAGCTGCCATGCAGCCTTAAGTGTCTTGAACCATTTGAGGCTGTGCGGGGCTATTTCCTCAATCAGCCGCAACAGCATAGGAAGTGCCTGCTGTCTATGCATCCTCTTCCTCTTTTTAAAAATCCCAGCCAGTCAGCAGCATGTAGAACAGTATCTCAGTGTGTTAGCATCTCCCAAGGACGACGCTAGAGTGACTCTGTGTGCCGTTATTAGCCATTTCTATATCTTCTCTGCGGCTGGAGAGACTGCTCAGCATTTGAGAGCTCTTATTGCTCTTCCAGAGGACCTAGGTTCAACTCCCAGTAACCATGTTGGGAACTCATAGCCACCTGAAAATCCAGGGGATGCAACAGACACCTCTAATTTATTTAAAAAAAAAAATCTTAAAAATGTCTGTTCAGGTCCTTTACCTGCTTTATAATATATAATTCTGTTTGTATGTGTGCCTGCAGGCCAGAAAAGGGCACCAAATCTCATTATAGATTGTTACGAGCTACCATGTGGTTGTGGAGAAGTGAACTGGGGACCTTTGGAAGAACAGCCAGTGTTCTTAACCTCTGAGGCATCTCTCCAACCCCATTTACCTGCTTTTTTTTTTTTTTTTTTTTTTTTCCTTCCCTGAAACAGTTTTTCTCTCAAGCCTTGGCTGTCCTGAACTTGCTTATAGACCAGGCTGGCCTCGAACTCACATATCTTCCTGCCTCTGACTCCCTGAGTTCTGGGACTAAAGCCGTTCACCACTGCTTCCAGCTTTACCTGCTTTCTGATCGGATCACTCATGTTTCTTTTATGAGTTGAATTCCTTATATATTCAAAATATGGGTTCCAAATTCCCCTGCCCCATTCTGTGGGCTATCTTTTCACTTAAATTTAAAAGGTAAATTTTAATTTACTTTTATTTATTTTATGTGTAAGTTTTTTTGTTTTGCTTGCATGTATGTCTGTGTACCACTTGAACGCTTGGTACCCAGAGAGAAAAGAGGCCAGAAGAGGGTGCTGGATTTGCTGGAGCTAGAGTTAGCAGCACTTGAGTTCTGGAACTGAACCCAGGTCCTCTGGAAGAGCAACCAGTACTCGTAGCTGCTTAGTCAGCTATCCAGACCTATCTTGTCTTTTTTTTTTTTTTTTTTTTTTTTTTTTTTGGCATGATCTTTCTACAGAGCCCTGGCTGTCTCACTATGTAGACCAGGCTGGCCCTGAATTCATAGATCCAGCTTCCTCTGCCTACTGAGTGCTAAGATTAAAGGCATATGCTACCACACCTGGCTGGCTGGCTTTTTTTTTTAAGTTATGTTTATGTAATCTTGGTGGCACATACCTTTAATCCAGCACTAGGTTGGCAGATCTCTGGGTTTGAGGCTAGCCTTGTGTACACAGTGAGTTACAGGCCAGCCAGAGATATAAGATGAGACCATGTTTAAAAAAAAAAAAAAACGTTTACTTATTGTGTGTAAGCATACATGTGTGGGCATGCACATGAAGCAATGTGTGTGGAGGTCAGAGGGTAACTTTCAGGAGTTGATTCTCTCCAGCGTGTGGGAGCCAGCGTTCCAACCGGGGTTGTCAGATTCAAATGACAGCATCTTTGTCTTCTAAAGCCATCTCACCAGCCCTCTCTTCACTTGTGTGAGTGTACGATAAAATACATATGACATAACAGTTTACCACACTGTCCACATTGAAGTGTGTGGGTCACTGACATTAACTGGCCTTAACTGGCATTCACAAGCATATTCACACCATTGTCCAATCGACACCAGCACCATCTCCGGGTCTTTCCTTCATCCCACAAAGTCACTCAACAAAACAGCCGGGCATGGTGATGCACTCCTGTAGTCCCAGCACTTGGGAGGCAGAGGCAGGAGGATCCCTATGAGTTCCAGCCCAGCTTGCTCTACAAAGTGAGTCCAGGGATGCCAAGGCTACACAGAGACACCCTGTCTCAAAAAAACCCAAAACCAAAAAGTGCTAGCCTGCCCCAGTAAACTCCATTCTTTGCTTTTCATGAATTAGCCACCTCTGGCATCCCCTAGGTGTGTTCTCAGTCAAGATTGCTTCATCTGTCTTATTTTTACTTAGTGTGATGTTTACAAAGCATTAGGTGTCAGCATTTGGGGAGTGAAGGGGTTTGTGACAGATTCTCCTGTAGCACAGGCTGTTCAAAGCTGTCTTAGACTGTGTAGTGGGTATGAGGACAACCTGGGCTACATGAGTCGCTACCTCAAAAACCACAGAACTAGAATTAACTTGTAAATGTAGCTCTGTTCATATCATAGTACAGCGGGACTCTTCTGGGCTGTTACAGCTCCAGAGTTTAAACTTCCAAGTCTCTCATACATTCAGGGA